AAGAAGTTCAGTTCCTGGAGGGACGACTACCTTAAAGGCCCCACCAGCTGATGCGTACAGGTCACCTCGAAATTACTGAGCTAAATTCATTGCATTAGTTGCTTTACACTAAAAACTTTCCTTGCAGCAACAAAGCGTACAGTATCGGACCCGGGTGGGAACAGTGCCAACCGGACGCCAGGATCGGTAGGGATCGCTTGCAGGCCGTTTCCAGGCAGCCACGAAAACAGGAATCACCCATAAAACCAGTGACTTTTCGCTATATTCCACTGAGATTAGGGTTTAAGTTAAAGATATATTCTAGACGTCTCATCCCCTGTACACGAACTTGCTGGTCACAGAAACAGTCTAGTAAAACTATAAATTCATTAATTCGAATCAGAAGGGCACAGCAATACTAGTAAATGCACTCAAGGAGTTACCTTGAATGCGTAATTCTTATTTGACAGCAACCTGTACAGGCAGTTGGACGGAGTAGCTATGGGCACACCCCTAAACCCGCCTCTAGCGAATATATTCATGGGCGAATTGGAAGTTTTTCAACTTCGTCACCAGGTAAATAGTCTGAAGTACTAAAGTCACTACTTAGATTATATTTTCGCGGTTGCATCTGAAAAAACCAAAATTTCAGCTCTACTTTATACCGTAAATCAGGCGCAACTAAAATTTACATCGGAAGAAGAACAGCCCAGATCACTCTCATTTCCCGACGTGCTTTTGTGTAAAAGATGTGACGGGAGTATTGAACGTAGGTTCTATCGTAAGAAGACGTGGTTCGGGCAATAGACCCGTTTTGGGAGTTTGGTACCGCTAAACTTCAAACGTAATTTAGTATGATGTTTGACGCAAAGGGCGAAAAAGATGTCAGAGAAGCTTTCCAGATGATCTAGAAGATGCCTGTAGCTATTCAAAATTCCTCGAAGAGCCACGGCAGAAGCGGTTGCAATCAGGCTACGCAACCCGGTCCTATGCGCCAAAAAGAACCTCATAACGGCGCCGCAGTCACCGTGGCTGAAAGTCGCCAATTCAACCGCCCGCAGATTATCACCTTTCTTCGCACCCCCGGATGCTGCTGACCTCAATTCTGTTCTCCGTGCTCCCCCTCCCCCCACCGACTTTGACAGGCGCATTATTTTTTCTACCAACCGGCATAGTTTATTTAGTCATTTACTATATAAATGTATAGGTCTGAAGAGAACTTATCGAAAGCAAACCTATGCTCGTCAATTTATCTTCCGGAATTTTCAACGGTAATTTTCGCAACTTTATTGTCAAATTAAGTACATGCCTCTTCGGAGACTATTAGCGAGAAAAATAAGCAAAAGAAAACAATACTGTATGCCAAACGGACTTCTTGGTAAGGATAGGTTATAGGTATCACCAAAGCAAGCCCTGGTGGTAAAATACGCTCAATGGCAAATACAGTCGAGCTAAAAAAACCGCAATGATTCTTCTTTTCGCCGCGAACTAAGCCCACTAGAG